TCTATCTTTTCTACCAACTGAGACGTGGTCAAATAGTTTATATAACGTCAGTGTTTTTTGGTTTGTACAAGTTTAGGCTTTTTTTGTTTGATTTTACTTTCTTAAGAAGCAAATAATCTTTAAACTTAAAAAACCCTCAACTACACTTTCTCTCCAGTTAGCTGGTTCATTTCCTGGAATGTCCTGACATGACCATGCCCCAGCTAACCTCACTCAAACACTGAAGGAAGAAATTATAAAAACAGCTTAAGTATATGAATTCTAATTTTTTTAAAAATTGTTTTCCAATACATAAAGAGGCTATTAAATTGACTTTTGTGGAAACATGAAGCTGAGGTTGGGGGGGTGACAAAGGATCATGGGGAGAATGTTAGAACATGCGTGCAGATTCCTTGATTCTGGTCCTAGATCTAAAAAGCAGCCCGACTCTAAGGTAAGCCATTTGGTCTTCCTGGTCCTCCGTTTCCTCACCTAAAAAATAAGGTGACTGAATTTTAACTTCTCTGCACCTAATATTCCTCACTTACTCTGAAGCTATAAGAAGCCAAAAATTAAAAATATTAGGTTATGTGAAGCCAAAAGTCAAGAAGAATGGAATTAGGCAAGTGAACAGAATCATCATAAGTAGCAACAACATAAAGGGGTTAAAGGTAACCAATGCCTTACCCCAAGTTCCCACAATTATAAACACAGATTATAACCTGAATTTCAAAATCTTTTAAGTAGTTATTTATTAAGTTACACATTAAATTCTATGATAGATCATTGTAAACAGTAGACTATTGCTTTTTCATTCTCAGGTGTACACAACTATCTTCTAAGGATTAATAAACAGTAAAATGACACTGAACTTTCATGCCAGTCAAGACAGAGAAATTAGTCAAGACTAACCTTCCCACTCTAAACAACTATAAAAATGGACAAAATGTATGAAGCAATTGTTTTAAAAAACTGGGCAATAGGCAGCATAGGATCGCAGTCCCTCGGAGAAGGGAAACACCTGAAATGAGCCCCACAATCACCATGGCTCTTAACCACAACCACCCTGCTCATCACTCTCTATCCATTTAGTCCCTCTACTTTTATTTACAGCATTTGTAATTACCAGAAATTATGGTACATGTGTGTATTTGGTAATTATTTATTGTCTTTCTCGTTAGAATTTGAATTCCTGAGAGCAAGATCTTTATCTATCTTAGAGGCTTCTTTCCAGCATCTAGGACAGTACCTGACATACCACAGGGCTCACGAAAGACTTGGTGAATGAAATCCTAGTCAATCTGAGCCTCCTGGTTCTGTCATGTGTGAAACGGGGACAGGAATCCACACCTACTCTTTCTATTCTCCATGCAGTAAAATGAAATACGCTAAAGCACTTTATAATGATGTTTCCTGACCCAGAAGAAAGCTGTGGGAGCAAATACACACACAAACACATGGATTGTTAATGATAGCCTGGAGCATAAATGCTTAGCTCATGCTTGCCGGTTCTATTTTTATTTATAATAGAAAACACACCTGAGGAATACTTATCCAACTATGCAATATCCAAATACCTGAAAGAATCTACCCAGGATTATACCCTTCAGGAAAAAAAACACACCTGAGTTAGGTGACTTGTAAGCCACAGAAGCAATTTAATTTCTGAAAAAAATTTTAATTAGAAAAGATCAAAACTAAATTTGGTGGTTTGGGCTGAACTGTGTCTCCCCAATTCATACCTTGAAGTTCTGACCCTAAGTCCCTCAGAATGAGACTGTATTTGGAGACAGGGTGTTTAAAGAGCTAACTGAATTAAAATGAAGTCGTTAGGGTGGGCCTTAATCCAGCAGGTCACTGGCTTCCTTACAACAAGAAGAAATTAAAACACATTAAGACAGAGGAAAGACCCTGGGAAGACACAGGGAGAAGGCGGCCAACCACAAGCCAAGGAGAGAGCTTAAGACACGAACCTACTGACACCTTGATCTCAGGCTTCCAGATTCCGGAAATGTGAGAAAATAACTTCTGTTGTTTGAGCCACACAATCTGTGGTTCTTTGTTATGACAGCTCTAGAAAACTAATACACTTAGTCCTTTTAGAAACCAAAGGAAAAGTCATTGGAAAAGTTTCATAAAAATGAGGTAAGCAAACTAAAATAATCCTTATAAATATTTTATTTCCCTTTCATCATTTATATTGAAACACGGACTTTAATTAGAGTTGTCTAAGTATAAATCTGAGTCATCCAATTCTTAAATCAATCCAGCTTCTTCACCGTATCTCATATTCCTGCTGAGAGAGCCCACCTTCCACAGTGTGGCTAGAGAAGGTTTATCTAGTACAGAGCATAGAAGCAGGTGTTCCTTTTCTTTTCACATTTAGGTCCATCACAAATTCTAATTATTTTAATGAACAGGAACACAATTTAAAAGGCAACTGCACCAGTCACTGACATAGCCCATCTCGACTTCACAGGAAAATATCCATCAAAATATAAACAGGCAAACATGCAGATCACCCTATTTCTAGACTCTAGGTGGAAGGTCTACTACATCCAGTACCACTGGCCTTGTAGTGAGAAGATATCCTACAGCCTAGAAGGTGTAGTTTCTAAAAGACTGAAGGCAGGAACAGAGGCAGAAAGATCCTTGTAAATTCTTGACTTTCTTTCTGAATTTAGATGCCAGGGTCAGAAATAGTTGATTTACATGCCTACCCATGAGTCCTATCACTCCCAGGTAAAGCTCAGATCTCTCCTCATCAGTATCTTTTTTTTCAATTTTACTTTTTAATTCTGGTAAAACACGCATAACATAAAATTTACCACCTTAGCTATTTTTAAGTGTACAGATCAACAGTGTTAAATGTATTCACGCTGCAGAGCAAACAACCTCTGAACTTTTCACTTTGTAAAACTGAAACTCCATACCCGTTAACCAGTGACTGCCCACGTCCCCCCACCCCACAGCCTTGCTGATTTTTACAACTTCCGCATTCTTGGCAAATCCCTTGAAGTCATGGGTGGAACTCTTGATGTCATCATCACTCCTTGGTGACTGACCCAGAGCCCAAGCAAGGCTCCTGATGCAGCACAGATGTCATAATCCTTCCAGACTGCACCGGTGTCTTCCTCAATTGCAGCAATACCCGGGCAAAGGCCCTCCTCAAGTGGGAGGCCTTAAAAGCTTCTGTAACTCTCTGATCCACTGGTCGAATCAAAGAGATGGTGTTTAGGGGGAGAAATGCTACTTTAAGGTGGAGATGAAGACTGCCAATAAAAGGAGAAGGTCTGGGAGCATTAGCAACAATAAGCAAAATACTGAAAGTACGTTATTGTCCAAACAGTCCTCCATTTCTCTGGCACAGCGATCGGGACGGCATCTTTGGGAGAAGCTGAGTCACAGAGCCATCCAGGATTTGTTATTGCTCCTGCAGGACACTGGCAGTGTGTGCTTACTGATGTGCTTGACAGCGCTGGGGTCCTCACTGTGCCAGATCACAGCCGGTTTCTATTTGCAGCCTGCAACACTGCCACCAAGCAAGGCTGTGATCCTGTCCTTAAAAGCCTTGAAACCTGGCATTGACTTGGTTTACGTATTAGTGAAAGTCCTTTCAGGCATGTTTCCAGAATAGGGAGGATTCGACCATAATGAATATTTGCTCTGGTAAGAAATTTTCCTCCAGTCAGTTTATTTAGAGCTGCCAAATTCTTCGGCTGCCTTCCCACCAGCCCCCGCTGACTCCCGACTCGCTTTCACGTTACAGAATGAATAACAGTTCCTGAGCTGTTCAGACCACCCAGAGCCCGCAGTAAATTTGACGTCACAGCCAGCTCCGGCCTTATCATTCAACACTGCAAACGAATTTTGCTTTGGCCATGACGGTCATGGTGCTGCGAGGGCCATGCTTCTGCATCTGGTCCTCACTCCAGGTCATTAGAAGTTTCTCCATGTCTGACACAGGCCTTCCTTTGGTTTTTGTTTAAGTCCCATTTCCTTCAATAAGGCAGAGACTTTAACAGCTTCCGTCACTTCGCTCTGTTCTTCGGGGGGTCGCTGTGGTGGAATGGGCCCCGACTGACGCGAGCAACAGACATCACCGATTCTCCACCTTCACGGTCCTTAATGGCTTTTAATTTTGACTTCAGGTCAGTCGCTCCACATGGGCTCTTACTGGCAACATTAGCAGTGGGTTTTGTATTCTTAGAGGCACGGTGCACAAAACAGCATGAGATTAAATTAAGCGCAGGAAAGACGTGCAATCAAGAGGTGTGGTTACAGGGGACGGAGGAGGCTGCAGTGGAGCACATTTTACAGAAAACTTCTTTTTATGTAAGTACAAAGAGAACAGTCTAAAATAATATTTTTAAAAATTATACTATAGTATACACATAAACCTGTAAGACAGTCATTTATTGTCACGATCAAGTATGATGCACTGTAAATTATATGTGATATACTTTTATATGACAGACAGTGCAGCAGGTTTACACCAACATCACCACACACACGAGAGTCAGGCGCTGAGCTAGGACATTACGGCAGCTACAACATCATCGGGCGACAGAAACTTTTCAGCTCCATCGATATGTGGTCTGTTGTTGATCAAAACATCATCGGGCGACGCATGACTGTATAATTTCAAGACATGCACGAGCCTCTGAAGTCCACCCAAGCACACTGCACTGAAAAGGCTGCAAACTCCGTAAGGCCTGAAACTGGGTTTCAACATTCTATTAAATGCTAAATACCAATAAATACTGTCCAAACTGAAAGGACCACAGGTTTGGGTATATCTGTGGGCCATGAGTCCTGTATCCCTCGCACTCCATCCTTAGCTAGCTCTGTAAGCATTCTCAGGCCCCAGGTCACAAACAACAAAAGCAGTGGCTCGTCTTTGGAGCACGCTCCCGAAGACAACACACCCAGCGCTGAGCGGGGCACGGGAGGCACGACAGAGACACAGGGAAAATGCAGCGTAAGGGTCAGTGAACGACAAAGGACGGAGTCCGACTCACAAAATCTGCTTCAAGTTTTCCCATTTCTTGCTTGTAGCTCCTCATTCTGTTGCTGTACATTCCTCGGCTCTGGGGCGGGATCTCTCGGACTTCCAAATCCATCTGTTCAAGCTGGTGGGAGAGAAAGCATCATCTAAACCATGTGCTTATTCTTTACTTGACCAGATGTTGAGAGCTGAAAGGATTTAATGTCAAGTCCTCATTGCAGCTGAGGAACCAGGTCCAGGGAGCTAACTTCCTGCGATCAAATAACATTGGGACGCCTTTTGTGCTTAATTTTTGTTTCGGTGAACAAATAGTTACTGAGTGCTCACCAAGAGTGCAAAGGCACTTTCTTTGTCCGGAATTTCTATTAAAACGCGTGCATTAATTCAAACATCCTTACTAACAATGATTTTAATATGTCTGAAGCATCCCATCATTCAACCTGGTCTGGTGTTCTGACCCCAAACCACCAGAACTGGTTTGGGAAGACAAACCAAACCATTATTCTAACATTAAGCACAGAATGTCTGCTCAGCCTTGTCACTGGGTAAAAATTCTTCTGGAAAGTTTTTTCTGATTAGGAAAATCACATACCAACCAACATGTGATCTTAACCTCCAGCGTCACTGCTTATTCTTTATAACCACGTTGACTGGGAGTTAAATGGATACAGTAAAACGCTAAATTACACAGAGCTCACTGAAATCACAGCAGGGCACTTTTTAACAACCTGTCATCATACAGCACTTCGAATACAACACATGAGCATCTAATGGGAGGTGATGCAGAAATCTTACGATGGTTAAGGAGACAGGCTTTCAAGTCAGATGCCTGCGTTCACACTCATTTAGGACCACAATGCAGTAACAAGCTGAATCATACTTGCAATATTTGGCTTTTAAAACCAAATATTGGGACACAATATTTTTTGCTCCCTGTGAATGTATTTATATTTTAAAAAGTAGTGGATGAGCTAGAGCTCTGGGTTTAGCACAGATAGATACAAAGTCTTACTCTACCACTTACTGGGTGTGGACCTCCGACAAGTTACTTAATCTTTCAAAGCCTCACTTTTCCCATCTACAAAATGAGGGGAGGGGTGTAATAACAGTGTTGAAAATCACTAGAAGTCTTGCTGGGCGTGGCAAGAATGCAAGGCCCTAACCACTTTTTTTCCTGGACATTTCTCAAGGTAGTATTTGCAGGGAGCAATTTTGGGGGAGGAACTAATGTGTCCCTCTGGGACAAAGGGCAGGCTTGCTTATGGGCTGCTGTAAGCCAGTATGTTTCCCAGGCTCCATGTTCCTCTCTGGTAAGACATTCCACTGTCTGTGCAGGCATGCATCACCCCTGTGGGAATTGGGGCTCAGGAACTAATACAAGGATGCTCAAGTTCTGGCAGCTGCTTTTGCTGTAATAAAAGTCTTTTGTCTCTGACCTAGGAATCTCATGTCTTCTATCAGCATCCATGAAGTCGTGGCAAGCTCACTTATTAGTGAGCAAGTAGGGAAAATCTCAGATCCTTAACAGTTTTTGACAAACAGTACTTATCTCACAGAGTTTTTGTGAAAACTAATATTATAAAACATGTACTATCCTTACCCTAGTGTCTGGTACCCAGTGTGCCTCTAACAAGCATTAGCTATTGACAGCTATTATAAAAAGTATTATTAAGGAATAAAAATTAAAGATGGACATTTAATGAATCACCTTTATTGAGAAAAATAAAATCCCACGAAACTATTACATTCTCTTCAATTTAAAAACAGCTGAATTTTAAATTATAAAATGCTAATTAGTCATTTCACATTCCTACAAGGTAGAAACCAGGCCAGCAGAAGGCATCAGGTTGAGCAGCTCTGGTCATGTGCTCAAATGTATCACCAAGTCTGTACATACCAGCTCTTTCGCTTCTTCAAGCTGTTTCTCCACATTTGCAACCATCTGTTTCTTCTCATCTGAAACAAACAATAATATCAGAAAGTTGCTAAGGATATAAATGAATGTAATATTTAAAAACTTCTATTTTTGTGTACCTTTTTCCTGTCTGGTCAGTCAGATTAGAGAATTACCATATTGGGCAACTGACCACATCATTCTCTGGTGGGTTAGAAACCACGCTAAAGCCACTAATTCTAGTCTCCGTAGAAATACATAATCTGTGGAGTACCTAGCGATTGAGGGATGCCATAACATTTTAAAGAGAAACCAAAAATCGTTTCATTCTTTAGAGGAGACTGTGTGGACAACAGCAGGTTTAGTGGTGGCATGAGGAATCCGCAGTCTTCACTATAATAAACCGGCAATAAACTGATTTACAGGTACAATGTAAAAATCACAAAAACAGTTACTAAAACTAGGCAAGATCTTACCATCCTTTAAAAAACTGTACTTTCATTAACATTAAGAATTGGGTGTAGCCCGGCTGGCATGGCTCAGTGGTTGAACATCAACCTAGGATCCAGGAGATCAACGTTTGATTCCCGGTCAGGGCACATGCTCAGGTTGTGGGCTCGATCCCCAGTAGGGGGTGTGCAGGAGGCAGCCGATCAATGACCCTCTTTCATTGATATTTCTATCTCTGCCTCCCTCTCCCTTCCTCTCTCTCTGAAATCAATAAAATATATATTATATATATGGACAATTTCATCTGCTACCATTTAATAATTATCATAAAGAATTAGGTGTAATGGAAGAGATATTTGAAGTCAGGACTACCGATTCCAAACCCAAAGACATTGCCTACTCACTGATTATAGGATACTGGGTAAGAAATAGTTCTTTTTTCTGAGACTGTCTGTACTCTCAAAAATGAAGATAAAAAATACCCACTGGGTTATCTTTAGCTCAAATAAGCTGATACAAGTGAAATTACTTTTATACTCTGAAGCGCTAAGTCTCTGTATTTGGTTTACTCAAACTCTACCAGAATCAAGTTACAACCGAACTATAATCCCCTTTCCCGGGAGGTACTTTCAGAACACACCCCCTCCCCCCACCCCCATTCCAAACCATCTGCTCGGAGACTGCACGTATGTTTTGTGCTCACCAAACTCACTGACATTCATCGTTTTATCTGCCTAGCACGCTTCTGTTCTCAGGCAACAGTCCCCACTCTTCCGAGGCTCTCCTTCCCCACGCAGGGCACCGGCACATGCTGTCCATGACCCTGCCTCTCAGCCACAGTGACTTGGCAAAAGATGGGCTCCTCATCCTAGCTGGACCCAAGTAGTAGCTCAAACCCTCTGGCCACACTGGTCTCGGGCGGGTGGAACATATGACCCAATCTGACCAGTCGAAGTCCCAGAGCAACGGGAAAGTCTTTTCCTCTCTCGGTAGAGCTGTGAGAACAGGAGTTTAGACGCTAATAGCAACCATTGTTCTAGCTACAAAGAACAAGCGGTGGTTGCAAATGAAGCCTACATTTAGAAAGAAACACAGCAGAGAGGCAGACAGATAAGACAGACAGACAGGCACAAATAGATTACAGTTGGTTAATTAGTTTCTGGTTCCAGAGAATTCTGAAAGAGATTTTGCTTGACTTTACAAGATTGGGCTGCTTCTTTTTCTTTACTTAAAGCTGGGTTTCTGCGACGTGGAACCTAATGATTCCTGACCGACTAATACAACGGACTGGAAAAGTTGTGAAGCTTGAAGTGGACATAACACCTACCAGCTGACCAGCCCTCCAGAAGGACACTCAACACCAAGTGGGGATTCTCCAGTGGGAATTATTGTTTTACGAGAATAATAATAAAGTCCTGCTAACCCCAAACCCTTCCCTCTAGAGGGCAGCTGTCATGCAAGGTGATCTGTGTACTCTAGTCCACGCCATGGACCTCCAGGGCTAATTGTCACCAGTATTTCTCATTAACAAAGCAAAACAAAAGCAGCAGCCTCCTTTGACCTCTGTTCCCCTTTGCTGCTGACACCTCTCTCCTTCCAGCGAGGGTCACACGTCCCAGTCGCATCCCCCAGCTCCGCCCTGTAATCTCGCCCACACCCCCCCATTCCACTGAGATGACTCCCACTTAAGACTAATGACCTTTCCTTTACCCAAACTAATGGGCATTCCTTGGTTCTATTTTTATTTAATCTTGTGGCATCTGACATTCCGCTCCTCCCATCCTGCCACTCTCTGCTCTCCCGGCTTCAGCGACACCCTGACTGTGACTCTCCTGAACACTCACTCCTGTCTCAGGGTCCTCTGCTGGGTGGCACCCCCTTTTCCAGCCCGTCCTTTAATTATCGGTGATCCTCAGTCTAGTCCTTGCTTTTTTTTTCTCTACGACTATCATCTATGTGCCTGGGCAATTTCATCTGCTCCCACTTAATAACTATCATATTATCTATTTATGATGCTAAATCTTTGTCACTAATCCTGATATATTTTTCCAGAACTCCACACCTTTAATCCCAATGCCTATGCCCACCTCCACTGTGATCACCTGGCAAATTGCTATCCAACACTCTTCAGAAATCACTACCTCTGTGAAACCTTCCCTAGCCCAACATGAGTCAACCACTTTCCCTTACACAAGACAAAGACCTGTGACTTTACACTAATCTTAGTGATTTCTCTCTCACACCCACTGGTCTGATTTACCCTCTACCTTGGAGGCTCTGGGAAGCCAGGAACTGTGTATTAAGCATCTCCCTAGTCCTAAAATCCAGCACTGAGCCTGGCATATGATCAGTTCTCGAAAAATGATATTAAATCAAATAAATAGTGGAGACTAGTGTGAGCATTTGCACCAGAAGCTGACTTCCCTATCTCCACCCCGGCCCCTCCCCATTTACTCTCCCTACAGTGTTGCCTTGATTGGATCACTGGAGCCTAGCAGTCAAGGTCCTCCCTGTTCCAAACCCCACTGACCTTTCCAGCTTTAACTCCAACTGCTAGCTCTCCAGCATGTGCTCTCCATGCTAACCAGGCTGACCACCCATCTCTACACAAGCACATCTCCTTCTAGTGCTCTAACCTTTGTCCAAGCTACCATTTACGGTTCTCTGGACAACTATATATAATAGAACTAATTCT